AGTAAAAATCGCAATTTTTAGTAATACTATTATAAACTCTATGATGTTAAATGTAATTTATATTATTGAAATATAATATGAGTTATAATTCTAGTTATGTTTTCAAAATTTTGAAATTTTTTGTGATTATTCAAAATAAGTAGTGTGTGTGCAAAATTTCAGGGCAATAATTTTCTAACTATACTCCCTACAGTTCTGATGCGCACTTATCGATGAAATCTGAACCCAACATCCGTCATGTGATCTGAAATGGAATTCGATATAAAAGGTATTTGATGCGCAATTCCCCTCTCTCTTTTTGCTTCTGCTTCGGCTTTTCAATCCGCTACGTCGCACTGCCGCTATCCACAGAGAATTTACTTTTCCAGTTTTCGTCTATTGTTTAAGAAATATAAGCTGTATAAAATTGCGAGGCGCATGGCGCTTCCATAGTGATGATGTGCATTATCATAGAATAAAATTATATTTCCAAAATTAGCGACCACGTCACCTTCTAGTGACATCTTTCTAAATTCTCTTCAAGTTATAATGCAGATTCTCTTCAAGTTATAATGCAGAGAACCATCATCCATCCGTTGCAACTTTCTTTCACCAAGCCATCTTTTTACAATAATGGTCCACTCCTCTTAAAAGTCCTTTCCTGATCTTTATTTTCGCTATCGTTGATCTTAGTCATATACTTTCAATTACTGAGGTGTTCTAAATAATAAAAATATTCATGCTTTAGCAATGTCAATTTTTTTAAAATTAATTTTGGAAATAACGAAATCTAACTTTTAATGCCGTCTCCCATTTCGTATATTTTATATTGGGAAAAATTTAGTACTCGTTATGAAAAATTAAAATTTTAAGAAATTTAATTCTCGTATGACAAAAATTGACCAGGAAATTTAATTTAAAAATTTACAATTTTTGATGTCATTTTCAACTTGCCTTTAGGGGTCGGTTCATTTAGTAGAATGTTGTAATCTTGTCCATATTACATGGAACAGTAGTTGCCAGAGCCTACTCCGAAGAGAGGCTGGACTTCTATTTTCTACCCCCAATTTTGAGGGAGAGCATCCGAGGGGGATCCGGGAGTCTCCCACCCCTCTCCCCTTCCACCAATCCATACGAGAGGACTTTCGGCTCGCCGCATATTTAGAGTGCCACCATGTCGCACCGATACTATACATTTACAAACATCCATGTCTTCTCCGGGATTCGAACTCGGGCCCTTCGGTACCGTAGTAGGCTCCCCTAACCACTAGTTCAATATGTCAGCAACAGAGTATGTGATATGTATGTACAATATGTAATTTTGTATTTATGCTGTGCCAGGTTCTCATACATAAAATTCGTACTGTATCCGAAGCTGTAATGTATCTATACATGTTTATCTTTTATTTTATGGTACCTAATTTATACTAAGGATCGCGCGTACCTGGCATGTTTTCTTGTAAACTTTAACTACAAGATAACGTATAGTTTGGGTGTATATCATATGAGTGAGAGATGTATACTTTTATATTTGTTTCGGATATCTATGCATGTAGTGTGTTCTAATAGCTGTATATGATTTTTATTTATATGTATATACATATTTTTGATTGTACTCTTCTTCAAGTGCCTTGTATGCACAGTATATATTTCTTGTACATTGTTGTACCATTTTGTACTCTTCGTCAATTCTTTATATGCATATGCATATCTCTTTCTTGCATTATAAATTCGTGTGCTCAGCCGGGCTGCCAGGGCTGCGGCTGGTAGCTAGTGGTTGACTTCCCGCCGAGTTGGTAACCATTCTGCATGGATATATCTAACCTGGGTTGGAAGCCACTCAGGGTTAACTCCCCTAACCACACAACACCGTTTGAGCGACTATTTAGTAGAATATTTCGAGAGAATAAGTTTAATAAAGTGTAGTAAAGTATGTTATGATTTAAAAATAAGCCTTACAAGGAAGTCGAGGTGCCCCCGTTTTTTTTAGCTTAAAAATTTTAAAATAATTTTAATAAATTTTTTAATTTAAATTAAATTTTGGTTTGCCCCAAACGAAATTAGCTGATGATGAAAGTATGTTTATCTCGTAGGAAATACCAACTTGCGCATATATCTTTCTAGAAAGTTGCATGAAGAAATTGTTCAGTGCATGCCGTCATATAACGAATAAGATTACACACATAAAGGGCGAGGATGAAAGGGGCTCAAAGTGAATACCAATGGGGGTACAACTTTTGAAGGCCTGCTCTTTATATACATATATTTTGCCCCAATTTAAGGAACTTCTGCTGAAAAATAGCTATTTATAAGCTTTGCGTTGCCACTCTGCAAAGCGTGACATTATCTATTTTGTATATACACATCAAATTGAATCAGAAAACTCTGCGATATATAAAAAAAAGTTGCCATTCGAGAAAACGCAATTATATAAGTTTGTCTCGAATTTAATAAAACTCAACAATTTCCAAGCGAGCAATGGCAACACTGTACGAAAAAAAATCTTTATCGCCAGCGCGCGAGATTGAGCATCGGAAATCGTAATGATATGCTCTTTTGCTGTTTTGAAACATCTTGTGATATTGCTGTTGAATTGAATTTTATGTGGATTAAGTGCGAAGAACATGATATTCAATAAATAAAGGTAACCCAGCGTTGAAAAAAGGCCATATTGGGCGTAACATAAAATCTAAAAGCTTTCATATTTTCTTTTCTCTTTTATTTATTATTTATATTTTTATGTTTATTGCTAAGAATTATTTCCTTCGCACTTACGCCACATATAGCTCAACAGTAAAATTACAAAAATTTTAATAGCAATATACATTAAGAATTCTCGATGCTCCGTTAAGTGTTGGCCTCCATTTTTCTGTTTTTTTTTTTTTTTTTTTTTTTTTTTTTTTTTTTTTTTTTTCCTTCTAAGATGGTTTTCCAAATGTATTTTTTCTATTAACGTTTTGTGTTTACTTTATATATGAAATATCACCTTCTTGGCGCTTACACTCCATAAAATTCGATTCAACAGCTGAATCACAAAATATTTAAAAACAGCAATAGAATTTCTGATATACAGTCTCACACACTAGAGATAATTATTATTATTTTTTTTTTCCGTACAGTATGGCCATTGCTCGCTTTGAAATCGTTGAGTTTCATTATCATAAAATCGTTAAAGTTTTACAAAAATATGAAATAGATAATAAAACAAATTCGAAATTCAAAATGTGGACTTTCAAGTGCCCATGCTCGGGTACAAGACAACGTTATTCAAAATTGGATAGCTCTAGGTACCGTGTTTTTCCCAAAGCCAGAAACATGCATACTGTTAATATTTTTATTATTTAACAAATAATTATATTTATTTTCCTTTGATACTGGAGTGGGAACGCCCTATTTGAATCATATAACCGTTGCTCGGCAACGTCAGAAATGTTTAAAATTGTTATTCTGAAAGTTTTACCAGCTAGTAGTTGTATGAAAAGTTTATAGAGAAAAAAACTGTAATAGTAAGCTGGAGTGTGAAGCTGTAACGGATAGATGGAATTTAAATTATATATATTTGTGACTTGAGAATAAAATTTCATGTTTACAAAGAAGCTCATCTGTTATTTCGATAAAAAATTGCAAAATACGCTACAATACATTCATATAGATGCTTCATTATATTTAAGTTTTTCAAATATCAACGCAGAATACCGTTTTGGGACTAATATCCAACCGGGTCTAATATCCCTTTTGGGCTAAAAATTTGTGCTGGGTAATTTATCCAAAATTCACTAGTAGCTTGATTATTTTTGGAAAGTTAATCGCGGTTGCTGCAAAGCAAAGGGAATGACAATGATGTGTAGTATTTGCTATCATTGCTGCTTATAAATTCTGCTTAACTGTTTTTAACATTTCTAAGACAAAGCTGGGTTATCGAAATTCCGATTTAAAAATAAAAACAGTAATAAATATTGAGAGAAAATTTTAATAATTTAAATGCATTTTTTCTCTTCCGATCACAATAAAATCTCTGAATATAAATTATTGGTCACCAAAGTGAATAAAATGTGTTAAAGAAAACTGATGACCAAACGCAGTGAAACTCTGACATTTGTAAGAACAATACTGCTTTCAAGATTCTCTAATAATTCCAAGGCATGAAGTGCGTTTTGCTTTAATACTTGTTGGCAGACTATTCTCTCGACTATGGTATTATTATCTGGGGATTATTAAGCCAAAAACGTCTGGCTAGGTTGGTATTTCAAAATAGTCGCAGTTCGGAAATTAAACAAGAAACCAAATTCTGAATTCAATTTTCTTTCGCCGTAATTGTTACAAAGTAACATTTTTTTGGTGCATGGTAAGTCATAAATACAAGCGCTGTGTTATGCAGCAACCTATGGATTTCCATTTTGAAAATAGAACGAATCTTTTCCGTTATATGATAGCGCTTGTCAAATAATACTTGTTTGGTTTATTGAGATTACGGCAAAGCATACTAGAGCTGTCTGCCTATGGGAAGGAATACCTTCGTGGAGGACTTTCTAAGGGAACTGGCTCGTATACACGTTACACATGGGGAAAACTACGAAAACGCCCATCCATCCAGCCCGTTTGCTGGATTCGAACCGCGGACCGAACTACCAGTGTTCAGCGACTTGACCACTCGGCCGCTGGTGGGCCTCAAATAACACTAGTCTAGACTCTTATTTGACACATCCGGCGAGAAAACATTTTCGTCACCTCACTTCGACTATAGTAAAAGTTTCCTATATCTGTTAAAAACCTATTTATTTCTTAGGTTTGTTTCTTATGTGAGCAAAGAATGAAATAGAATGACACACTTTAAAAACTTTTTATACGAAATTCGTACTTTGAAAACAAAAACTTGGTTATAAAAGGTAAGAACAATATAAATTTAATAGTATACAAATGGCAATGTTGGCGCATGTATCTTTCTGTAGAAAATGGTTTGGCGCTTATTGTCCGATAACGCAAAAGATCTAACATAACTCCTATATAAAAGGAGCTTGTGTGCTTACTTTTCGTAGCATTCCCGATTAATTATATTGAGTCACATTCTGTGCATCGTGTTTGGTATTGCTTCTGGATACTGGTAACTCTTAAGCTTTTTAGTTTCTTTCATGTACGTACATATATATTCTTTAATTTAGATCAAAATGATGTAAAAAAAAAAAATGTGAATCTGTTGAACTACTTGATATTTTGGTTTTCTAAATACACACTAATATAAATCGACTTAACAATCATCCGACGATGAAAAATCGTGATTTAGAATACAAACTGAAAATAAGACAGAAATACCTTTTAATAATACAAATTATGCTCAGCTATGTGTAATTTATTGCTATGACGATGAATGATTTCGACTACGAAAAAGATTTTCCATTTCTTATTTACTACTTCAATTCTGCATATTGCAGTTCACCATTTCCTATATTTTCTTCATGTTCTGCTGATTATTTTTCTGTCGACATCTAATACATTTATCTATCAACACTATATCTTAACTTTTCCTCATCCTTGTATCATTTTGTTTAAGTATTCTATAGTGCTCATAATGTGTACCTTTTTTCTCCAATTTCTTCATTCAATTTTTATAAATTTTAAAGTAATGATTCTACACCTTTATTGTTGCATATCTTCTCTTCTTAACTATGTGCTAAAGCATCATCCCCCCTCCTCCATTAAATGTATTCCTAACACTATCTGAAAATTATTATTTTTGTTTTAGTATTACGTCTACCGCTTTAGGAAGTCTCCACTTGATGAAAATACATTAAATATATTTTCTGCTACGATCATGTCCTTTTTCAATATTGTCATGTGCTTTTTCATTAAAACAGAAGGAATCTTATATCAAACCTCAATTGTGTTAGAGCTTATTAATGTGTAAATGCGTAGTGAACTGAAGGCAAAAGATGTTTCTATCAATTTCAGTGTGCTTACCTAATGCCTAAATTTAAGCTTTCTTAAGCCTTCGAATCATCTTAATTGAGACTCATCTTTGCTATGGTTTTTCTTACAGTTCGAGTCTACCAAGCAATTCCCCCCTAAGACTGCAAAATTCCCCCTTTTGCAAACAGTTGAAAACTTCTGTTTTAAGTGCTTACTGAACAGCCCTCATTTGTTATTTAATTAGTACAGCAAGGGTCGGCAAAACAATTTTAAAGTGCCCACAGTTCAAGCATCTAAATTATTCAAAATTTTATTATGAGAACAAATTCAAAATTTTATTATTAAAACATTCGTAATTATAAAGAATAATTTTCGAAAAATTATTAATTTTATTTTGGTCCTTTTAACAACTGTACCAACTGTATGTTCAATTAAACTGTTGACATAAACTAAGTCTTAGCGACTTCTAAATTCTAAATGAATCAATTTTCGACTGCTAGAAACATCTGATTCCGCATACAGTAAACTATTTTCTGCCCGCATTAACCTCGCATACTCCGTTCAACCATGACATACTACTATGCTTTACGTCCTTAACCTTTTGGTATCTGGCAACTCCTAAACACCAATTTATAATTTATTTAATTTATTTGATTTGATTTGTTCATATAAAAACTTGCAATTTCACGGATTTGTATTACATGCGTAATATGCATTCTTCTCTTCAAACTAAAAAATAACGAAAAGATACAGATAACATTGCTTTTGCAATGAGTGTTACTAAGAAAATAATTTCAATTCACCTGATTGTTGTGTCTCATTAATTTATCTAAATTGCGAAGACAACTACATTTTACAGTTTCCTTGATAGGCTAGCAACAGTCATGAACTACGTCCCATAGCAACGTTTTTCATCCATATCTTCGCAATTACAAAAGCAAATTGTTAGTCCATTACAACTTTTACAATCCAATCCACTTAAATTAAATTTATTTTGATATAATTATATATTTATTCTTATTATGATCATATAATTATTCTTATTTACTATTTATTAATATTATTATTATTGTAACCACTCCATGGTGTCCACCAAATTTCCTTATTTCTGAAATATGCCCTTATGGTAGAAATGCTTGCCGGCCACTACTCCAGAAAACGATTAACAGATATTAATGCACAGTTAGCAGGCATAACTAACAGTTAGTACAACTGTGAGTGGAGTTATTAATGAGATAGGGTACTAAAAATTAAACATTGTTTAATGTTTATATTACAAATTTGTCATACTCGCTAGAAAGCGATTTCTTGAAGTAAGAATCTAAAAGTACGTGTGCAGTTAATCCAAGTCCTGGCACAAATTTATCATGTATTGAAAAGCAGATATTTCTTGAAACACTTTTTGCTATTATAATGCAAAATTATTTTGGGACAAAATATAAGCAGGAAGTGTTACACATCTTGTGTTTAAAATGGATGAAATGACGAAATGTTACACTTCTAGTGCTCAGAAAAATAAACACATGTGAAAAAAGGTCTAGTGTAAAATAATCAGTTTTAATGGAATCATCTTTTAAAACTACAGTGTAACAGATTAACTAAGGATATTATGCATAAGAATTTGTAAATAATTTAGAAGCACAGATAGAAAATAACATGAGTTTTAATAAACATTTTTTAAAAAACTGATTTTTCTTTGGAGTAATGCAAAATCAATGAAAACGTATTAAGATGTCAAAAGTTAATATATGTACTTCTCATAATAAAATTTTGAAAAATCAAAAGGTAAAAACACTCGCTCAGATTGTTTCCCTAAATGTAAAGAGATGAATAATAAGTTTTGCAAATCTCTATGCCCACTAGCAGCCGAGACCTGAGTATTGGTATTTCGATTCGTTTATAAAGTTCTCCACTAAAGCATCCCCTCTTAGGCAGATAGCCCTCGTGTGCATGCTCATGAGCATGTTTCGACATTAATTTGATACGGATAATAATACGCTGCAATAGTGTCTATATTTGTACACTATAAATTGCATGCCACTTTTCAATGGCCATCAGATTTCCCGCATGAAATTCAGATCTCGGACCTATTGTGGAATGTATAGTTATTTGGAAGGTTACTTTGCGGTTGAGGGGAAAGTGTTTGAATACTCGTAGCTTGACTCAGACTCATTTTCCAGTGGGCTTACCAGCGGTAAAGTCGCTGAATACCGGTAGTTCATTCCAGGGTTCGAATCCTAGTGAACGAGCTGGCTGCATGGACGTTTTCGTGTTTTATCTCGTGTGTAAAGTGTACTCGAGTTTCTCTTAGAAGTCCTTCATGAAAGCATACCTCTTCCCAGACATAGCCCTCGCATGCTTTGCCATAATCAAATAAACCAAAATAAATTCCAATCAGCGAGCGGAATTTATGGGTGTTATCGCCCACCAGTGGCCGAGCGGTAAAGACGCTGAACACTGGTAGTTCGGTCTGAGGTTCGAATCCCGCGAACGGGCTGGCTGCATGGGCGTTTTCGTGGTTTTCCCCATGTGTAACGTGTATACGAGCCAGTTTCCCTTAGAAAGTCCTCCACGAAAGGCATCCCTCCCTTTAGGCAGATAGCCCTCGTGTGCTTTGCCATAATTAAATACACCAACATTATGGGTGTTATCGAAGTTTTTCCCATGTACAACGTGAATTAGAATCTTTTTTTTAATTTTTTCGTGAAGACATCTTTCCCTTTGGGCAGACAAGCCTCCGCGTGCTTTGCCAATAAACCGAATGAGGAGTTACTGGAAATACGGATTTCATAGGACTAGACTTTTCATTAAACGGGAAGTAAAATCAGAACTCGTCAAGCCTTGGCCAAAGTGCCGAACAACTTCTGCATCAATATTATGCTTAAACGTTTTAATTTCAGATTGTTGCTGTCCCGATGTTTGTTAATTCGCATTTTACTGTTTGAGTATAATGCCTGCAATATTTCATAAACTGTTATAACATTAATTTTGTTCATTTTTTAGTTTTGATTTTTTTTCACTCGAGATAATATTATTAAAAAGCCACGATTCATTTATTTTTTATCAAATGACTGTATATTGCTGGTGTCAAATTCATTGTTAGTTAGCTTTATGGGTACTTTTCCGTTTTGCCTGCGCAGGCGATAAAGTCGCCAACAATGGTACAACTGATGCCAAACGGAATATCCTCGCTGGTAACCTTTCACGCCTCATTTTCAAAACAAGTAACAGCCATTTCTAATCAGATTGATTGTTTCTTTCAATATTGGCGATACAATTACATAGAATTTTCATCAGATAGTTCAATTTTATGCCCCAAGGCCATTCGCGGTAATTAAGTCAATTAGGATGCAATCACACCATTCATCCGAAGGCAAAAATATAGAAAAGATAAAGGTCATCAATTCTAATGAGAATGCACTAGCGAAGTAAAGCACTGCGATTTTATATAATTTTTGAGTAAGCTATTCGTACGAATTGAAATAATTCTTGCATTTAAACTTGTATTCCACATTAAGATTTAACTTGAAATTAATGTAGATAATTACTGAGAAAATTAGATTTTTGTAGCTTAGTTTAAGTGAGATGAGATCACTTCGGGTTACGTGATAAGAAACTGCGAATCGGGATTTTGTACCATGAAAGCATAGTAAATTCTTAAATTAATGGCTTTTTGAAAAATAACTTCAAAAGCCAATAAATAAAGACAAATTTATTTATTGGCGTCAAGACGACTTCTTGACGCCAATAAATAAATTTGTCTTTATTTTTTGGCTTTTTACAAAATTTTAAACGATATTAAAATGTCTATACCTTAAAAATAAAAAATTCTTAGAACTAACATTTGTTAACGTTTTTTATGTGAATACTGTATGTTGTCGCCAATAAAGTCTGCTTGGCGAGATTTGCGCCGGCGAAACGGAAAAGTACCGCTTTATGTAATATAAAATGCAGTTAAATATAAAGTCTGATAAATTAGGAAATAATGCTGTAAAATCTTGGATAGTCCATGAATGTGAACTACAGATCAAAATCTGAGGTGATTAAAAACTTTTGGATTGTTCTAGCTAGCGAGTGCAAAAAAAGTATTGTGTAGCCCTTGCGTGCTTTGCTTTAAATCAGTGGTTCTCAACCGGTGGTACGCGTACCACTGCTGGGACGCAAAGAAGCAAAGTATTTTTAATTAAATTCAAAAATTAAAACCCCAACATCCTAGTTGAGTTTTTTTCTCTAACACTCGGAAATTTATGCGATCTAAGCTTTGTTCAAGAGTGGTGGCGGTAGTAGTACTTTGTAGTGGTGGTACTACAGGCTTTCAGTTTTTGTTTAGATGGTACACGTTAGTCAAAAGGCTGAGAACCGCTGCTTTAAATGGTTAAACAAATAAGCGAAAACAATGCATTATGTGCTTGAAAAGTCCTCCATCAATACATTCCTCCAAAACCCCTGCCCTCGCGTGCTTCATCTAATTCAGCAGTCTCGAAATGCCTGCAGACCGAATGCAGGATCTAAAAACATTTGAGAGGCAAATTTTTTTTTAACAATAAGCATTTCGCATACTAAATATTAAAATTGGTAAAACATACAATACTAATATCAAAGAGGGAAAAATACACATTTACTTTTTATTTTAACTCTAAAGTTCCAAGACATTTTTGACAATGTGCAAAAACATTTTTGTTGGTTCCGCTTTGCCATTTAAGTATACTGACAACCAAGTATTAAATTCTTAGACTGACATATCTTTCAAATAATTCTATCATGTTTAATTAATCTTTAAATAAATTACTAAAACTAAGCAAATTATGAAAACTTTCGAAGTTTTCAGAGCAAATTTACTAAGCGGAGCAAAACTTGAGCACAAATAACAGCATTGTCTCATTCTCTTATTTACTAAATTTTCCTTCAACTCATAAAAAATATTTTTGTGTTTAAATAATTATAAACGTTTTTATTTCTGAATACAGCTTCAGGAGTTTCGATTCTGATAAAGTCTGAGGCCCACCACTGGCTGAATAGTTTGGTTATCAGGACCGGATTCGGAAATGTATGGATGTATGTGTTCATATATGCTTTTATATATATGTACATACGTATGTATGTGAGTACACACCCATACACACACGCATATACTCACATAAACAGATGTATTTCTTAATCCAGTTCCGATAACAGAAGTTTGACGCCAAGTGTTTAAGACGACCGAATACTGCTAGTTCGACTCAGTTTGAGTTTAAACCCAGAGGAACGGGCTGGCTGCATGATTGTTTTTTGTGTGTTTTATTTGTATAACGTGAATGCGAACCAGTTTCTCTCAGAAAGCCTTCTATCAAGGCATCTCTCCTGTTAGGCAGATAGATAATTTTCTTGTTCGTTTTTAATGGAAATGAAAACATAATTTCAGTCTTCAAATAACTATAATCATGAATTCTTTCGACACCGTATTTGCAACTATGTAAATCTCTTTGTGGGCCGTATAAAATTACTTTGGGGATGGTCGCATGCAATCTGCGAGCATCCAATTCGAGATCATTAGTGTAATCAACTAACCAAGCAACCATAGCGCTACGTAAGACCATTGTCCGATAGCAATAACATGTCAACTTCCAATTATTTTTACCTTAAAAAAAAAAAAAAAAAAAAAAAAAAAAAAAAAAAAAAATTACCTTTGCACATAGTGTTTCTACCTAGAGGTTATCGCTCGCAGGTGGACTAAAACCGCTGAATATTTGTAATTTCTCTCCAGGTCTGTTGGTTTTTCGGAGAAAGAGCATGCTGCAAGAGATTTGGCGGTTGTCTTCAATTAATACGTCCCAGTTTCCCTTGAATTTCTTTACAACGGAAATCAGCAGATTACACTTCGCTGCTTTGTTTTAAGCCAATCATCTAATCAAGAGATTCACGTTATGCATGTACAAAACCATGAAACTTCCTCTGCAACCAAGCCATTCGCCAGTATTTGAACCTAGGTCGAACAACCAGGGTTCAGCGATGATGTCATTCGGATGCTAGTGGACCAAATGTATAGTATGATATCTCAAAAAAAATATCTAACTTCCATGAAATCCTGATATCAGTATGACAAACAGTACGATAAGTATGAAAAATATGTGTAGGAGAATCATTCAAAGATTTAAATTTGAAAATAATTGTGGAACTATTACGACTTGAATAGTTTACTCTGGAACAAAATCTTCAAGAAGCTTGGCAATTTCATTAGATACTTTGATCTTGCAGCTCAAGCCCTGATTCACAGTAATTGGAAGTATCTAGTTTGCTGATAGTAATATTGAGTTCTATTTGAACATGTTGGAAGTCAAAGATACCTTGTGTTTGGTATTTTCCTTTGTTCAAATGGGCGTGGCCTGTTATGACCATGAGACTAACTTGTTTGGTTAGGTGGGTCGAGCTGCGCCCACTACTGATACTGATACCTTAAATCTAAGGTACATTTTAGGCATATAGTCAAACATGCAGGGACTATATGCCTAAAATGTAGATGAGTTAATGGAGAAACTTTCAAAAGGTGGTTTATGATAACCTTTAAGACGTCTTGTCTAAGGCAAGGGATACCTTCACACAGGTTTTGTAATTGACACTGACTCTCATTTATGCTACACATGAGAAAAATCGGGAAAACGTCCATGCTGCCAACCTATTTACCGGTATTTCGAGATGGGGGTAGAATTTTTAGTCTTCGACTGTCTTATCCACTGAGCCAAAGGTGACGCTTCATCCTTCAGTGTCCGAGTGAATTTAGTATTATAACCCAGTAAACAAGGTTTTATGGTTAATCTTCGGATTATGATAACTTGGCGATCTTTTGGCGAAAATTTGGCGACCAACCCTGCTACAGCAACCTGCTAGTTTTTGTTTGGACGCCATTTTGTTTTCACAAAGTAAAGGCATTTTTTTTTTTTTTTTTTTTTTTTTTAATTACTCAACATTTTTTTCCAACAATCTGCTAGCCGAATTACGCTTATGCTAGAACTTTTATGGAACAAAAGTGCTTAATCATGACGAAGATTAGGTGCGAAATTAGGAAAAAGTGCAGAATCGCCCACTGCTTGCCGCGTTTTTAAGAATTGCTCATACACGGTATCATCCATGTACACGTCGATCTATTTTCACTTAAGAAACATCCCAGAATTGCACAAAAATGGCATTGCGCACACTCTTGACTTTATCCATGTACACTGCTAAAGTCCTAGCTTTATCGCCTTACCAAAATGTCGCCAAACTACCTGTTACCATATTCCAAAGATTCGCCGGTTTTATTTACTGATATATGTACATTTCTGCGATCTCTTGCATTTTGCAGTTAGGTATGCCTTAATCGTTTAGTTGTATGCGACGCTATATTCATAGCGTCGCACACACTGTTCTGTTAATTTTAGTGGATCACGTAATTTTTGTTCCCATTTCAGAGTGTCCGAAGGGCGGGAGGGGTATTTTACTGTAGGATAATATTTACCATTTAGATTTATATATGAACACATATCACCAATCATGCTTTTAGAAAAAGTGTATTTTTCTAGAAGTTTTTTATATTTTTAAACACTTTCACTAAAACTTTACTAATCCTTAAAATATCCATAACATTTTAAACATATACTTCATGCTAACATTTTACCGCAGATCTTTAGATAAGTGACTACAGTAACGAAACTAGTTTATATCTGAAAAGCTGGGCTTTTTATGATCACGTATGGGTTGAAACATAAGTAATGGCCCTTTTTTAAATTTAAAATTGTTATCTTAACAAAACAAAAAACAATAAATTAGTCAATAATCTCAAAGTTTTGGGATTTTCCCCATAGACCCCGGATGTCGAACTATAGTCATTTGGCTAGAACTTAGTCGTTCGGCTAATTCTCGAGCGGTTTGATGCGCGTCGTCATGCAGAAGTTGATTCAAACGCTTCTTCATCAAACTCATTTGGTCGTCCGGAACGAGCAGAGTCTTCGAGGTCCAAATTTCCAGTTCTGAATTTGGCAAACCAATTTCTTGCTGTTCGTTCAGGCATTGCACATTCTCCATACACTTCACAAATCTCTCGGGCAGCTTGTGCAACATTGGCGCATCAATTAAACGCAAAAAGGTGCCGAAAATGCTTATTTTGTCGGCTTGACACTCCATTTTAGTGATTTTAAAAATAATAAAAATTAGCTCAGGCGAAAAAATCAAATACGCCATCTTGTAGAGGGAAAGATACTCTTTCCAATAATACAAAACATTATGCCAATACATTTTATTTTTACCGCGTAATTTTAAACACAACATAAACATAATTATTTATGTTTCAACCCAATATAACATCAATGGCTTGTTTCATAACGATGTTCGAAAGAAAAGAATAAAATGTAATAGAAACAAAGCATTCTATGATAACATTTTATGAGTTTGAAGTCTCGCAAAAATGAGTTTTAAAGTTCAATTTACTGAATTCTTTTTACCTTTGTAGTAATGAAGAAAGTTTCCTAAAACATACCTGCTATATTGGGATTGTTCAATTTTTTTTTTTTTTCTAATGACACTCTAATTATATTTGTTTCAGACTGTCCGATGCTATGGAGCATCTGAAATTATCTCTTGTTCTGAAAATTTCCCTTTTGTTCCTCTCGTACCTTATCAGCATTTTCCTAACGTGGCTTGTGACGGATAAACCTGAAGCAATTCTTAGTTTTATACCAGTTTTCATCTCTTTCACCGTCTACATCTTCACTCTACTGATCTTCGAATTTGGCAAAAAGATGTGGCAACTCTATCTTCAAAAGAGCAATAGACTTCAATACGTCTTCAACGTCAATAAGAGATTTCAGAGGGCTGGATTTCTCCAGACGACCCAAGCGATTGAAATTCCCCAAACGTCTGAAACATTTGAAATTCCTCAGACGACTGAAAGGACTGCAGTTTCTCCTACCACTGAAATGATTGAAATGGCTGAAATTTCCAGAACGCCTGAAATGATTGAAATTTCTCGGACGGCTGAGATTGAAATGACGAAAATTCCCGCGACGGCTGAAATTATGGAAACTCCCCATGGAATGCAAATTTCCCAGACACGTAGATCTCCCCAGAGGGTAAGAAATCCAAGAAGAACGGAATTCTCCACAGGATTTGGAGGAGGATTAGAATTTCCTAAAGGAACATTTAATTTTTAAGACGATGACTTTTTGTATGTGCACGATGACTTTACTTTTGTAATTTTACGATTTTTGACTTTTCCTAAATGTAATTATTTTAATTTTATTGATTACGAAAGAAAGAAGAATCAGAAAATGAATCTGAGTGCAAATTCTTTGTGAACATAAATACTTTATCGTTTATAAATATTTTATTAAATATTTTCACTAAAACATTACTTGCATTTTCCCTTTTTATACCTCACGTCTTTATGAATTCTTCATGAAAGCGAATTTTTTGTTCAAAATGATTTATCAGTTGTTTTCCGTATGTTTAAGAGGAGCACATTTATAAATAAGAACGTTACAGTGTACAGAATTCAATTTCCTCAAACAAATTTGTTGAGGGCAAATTTGTGAGAATGAGCAAATGAGCAATTTCAGATTTGACTAGCTTTTAAAATAAAACTCTGTAGATTTGGAAGGGGATCAAGCACAGGTCCTTATTTCTTCAGGCACAAAAAAAGTAAAGAGAGATGGGAACAACAGCAGCCATATTTATAGGAAAATCAATGAGCGAAGTACAGTAAAAAAACGTGAGAAAGCTATAAGAAAGCTAAGCTACACGTTACACATGGAGAAAAACATGAAAACACCCATGCAACCAGCCCGTTCTTCTGGAAACGAACCCAGGTTGGAACTACCAGTGTTCAGCGGCTTTACCGCTCGGCCGCTGGTGGGCTGAAACTCTAAGCGTATTTTTTTTTTTTTTTCCCGAGAAATATAGAATCACTAAGAGTGTAATCTAAAATAATGTAGCACAAATTAAAACTATTTATATTATATCTAGGCAGGATATTCATTTACTTTATCACACCTTGGAAGAAAATGATTTTTATAGCCGCATTTCATTTGCAGAATGTCCGAGAACCGGGGGAATGAGTCATAACTCGCAATAAGGAAAGAACAAAAAAAAAAAAGTTTTTTCCCCCTTTTCACGCATTATCACTGCCTGTGGAGAAAGAAAGGAAAAGTTTTCACCACACACACTGACCTTGCGTTTTCTGCTTTCAAAGCAAACAAAATTACCCAGATCAAAATAAATAATTCATTATTATTCCTACTTCCTTTTGAACGACGATCCCCGGAATTTCCGGGTATCGAAGCTCAAAATCCCCTGCCTGATATGAAAATCTCATGCGCAACCTGGAAACACAGCGATGTAGACCAGAAGTCGGCACGCGGAGGTGGCGGTGATAGACTTTCGTCTTTAGATATGATCATGAGCGCGAGTAGGCGCCGTGTGACTGTGTAAACACATTTAGTGATGCCTTGTGTTCAACTGGGGCGAGGAGGCGCCAAGCCATTGTTATATTCTAAATTAAACTAATTTTTTTGCGTTGTTAAATGTTCTGCCATGTGGAAGAAAGGATTCCTCATTATTTACTTAGTGACATCACCTTCGATTATCCTCCCCCCGATAGATTAGAGGGTGGGTAATATATATACCCTCTAAACCGGCTGTTATTTTATTCTTATATGTTTGCAAATTGTGCATTTTTTTTAAAGGGACTGAATTAAGCTGTTCCGGTTAAGGATTTAATGCCATGCATTTTTTTAAAGGGATTGAATTATGGTGTTCTTGTGGTCCGGTTAAGGGTTTAATGCCTTTAGTTAATCTCCAGCAGTGCTGGCCTTCTAACCAAAATCTTATTTTACTTCAGCAAAATCAAAAATTTCTTCACTTAGCAAATGAGACTTTCCATCTCCATAAAAAAAACTCTCTACACTAACTAGTCAATGACTCAAATTTTCACCCGTTTTCCTCACCCAAGAAACATTTTCTCATTCCATTTTCCCTTCCTATACGGTACAACTTGCATTCTTTCCCCTTTTAATTACAGAAAGTCTTAGGTAACTATAAAGTAACTTGTTCAAAATTTTTGTTTTATTGATCTGCAACTGGGCAACAATAATGCTGAATCATTAAAAGGGCTTCTATTAAAATTATATTTATGCAAATCAACGTTGTTTTTCTTACTCCATATTTAGGCGACTGAAAGTGCTGTATGTGTAACTTCTGCTTCCTTATTATCAACAGTACCTTGATCCTAAAATTAACATTTTTCTAGCCTCTTTTTTTTTTTTTTTTTTTTTTTTTTGTTCCCTGTAATGTTTAAATAAATGAAGTTATACAAAGAAAAGAAAAGTTGCAGAAGTCAAAATAAGGTTTGAAATATATAAAGCTTTATTTTGTTCATGAAAGTGCAATTATACAGAACAGGCATGCAACTTTTAATTACATGCATGACATCAAAGCAGGAATATTTACAAATGAATCTACAAAGTAAGTAGGTACAATTCCAACACTAATAAACCATAATTCCAAAAAGTGCCAGATTCAAACAAGTAATGTACATCATTAAATTATTATTTCAAACATCAACAGACAAAACACTCTCTTTTTAAATTACAGTAGTGGGGGGGATCTGTACAAGATTTAGTGTAGTTGTGAAAGTACATTCTCAGTAATAAATAAGTACATTTTAAAGCACAATATTGAAAGTGTATAGCACATATTTTGTTTTCATATAACTTTTCTTTTTTATAACCATCATGGGCAACAAACAGCATTTCACATTAAAATTTAAGATATTTACAAAAGAGAATGCTTTTACTTGCAATATGCCATACTTTCAAAACATAAATTTATGACATGACCAAAGAGGATTTGCGTTTTCACACCGGCTTATAAGAAGTAACATTTGCTTTTATTATCAAAATGTCTTCTACAGAAATGATGAGACCTGCTGCTGTTACATTTATTTCATAAAAAGATGAACAGGGAATCTCATCAAGAATAAGAATTTTAATAAATATATATATATAGAAATATTTACAAGATTAACACAGCTCTAATACCATATACAGATGTAGATGGAAACCCAGAAAAAATCACAGTGTTAAGTGCTAAATAAAGAATATACACAAATATTTAAAATACAGTACCTATACAAGAGGTATTTATTGTGCTTATAAAAAAAGAATAAATAAATGTTTGTTTCTTCTAGTTTATTTAAACAAAGAAAAAACAGTTACATGTTTTTGAATGTAAGCAACTATGTTGTGATATTAAATGAAACTGCACAGAATCAGCTTGTACTGCTGTGAAAAACATTTTGTTTCCACCAGTTTTAGATTTCAATCACCATTACCTGAAATAATTTCCTTCTAACACACATTTAACATCTACAATACTTAAAGTAGAGTATGTTATTTTTCACATTCCAAGCACATACATTTCAAACTTTATACAAAAGCTTAAATGTTTCAACTATTAAAAAACTATCCTTAAATCTAAGAACCACACAGATATTCTGTATAAAGTGACAAAAACATCAAAGTTGAGCATTCTTAAAGGAAAAATGAAAGATTTTCCTATGAGGAATATTTCTTGACATGACAAATGTTCTAATGACAATCTTCAGAAGTTTAAACATCTTGCTGCATTATGAAAGATTACTTTCTACTCATACTGCAATGCTATCAATAAACTTAAACCTTTTAGCATAAAAATTTGAACAATGAATGTATCTAAACCCTTTTTTAAATCTCATAAAAAGAGTAAGACAATTTAATTAACTTAATATTTATATTTTCTGCAATAAGAATAGCTAAAAATAAAACAGAGGTTTCAGAAGCAAATACTCATAATAAATAATACATGTTTATAACACATTATAAATTCATTAACCAAGTACTAACAAAATTACACTATTTAAACAATAACAATAAATTATGTTCAACAAATTCTCATTGCTCTAAGATTTAAAAACCTGAGAAAGATTGCTACTTGTAAACAACTTTAATATTGACAAGAGAAAATATTTTGCTCTCCAAAACAACAAAATATTTTTCACTACATTAATATTTTTGCATTAGTTCAACTATATACTTTTTCTAAAATATATAGCTCAAATCACACAAAACTTAGAAGACGAAATTCTTCATTTTATTTATTATGACAACTTTTGCTGAAAATTATCTACAAAATATAACATTTTTCCCAACATATTTTTAAAAATTATTTTGCTTGGTTAATGCATAGTATTTTTGCTTTTCCTTCTGTATTAAAATAACTTTCGCCTAGTGCAGACAAAGTTGAATCTTTTCAAAGAATGACTATAAAAGTGTTGCAAACGATTAATTCAAATAATTTCTACAAATATATAAAAAGATATTCAAACTATTGTGAAGAAATAAGAAATGACAGATTCTTACCATGCAATTCTGATAACAGAATAGATTTTTGCCATGCAAAAAACATATTATTTATTTAGGATATAATAAATTGTGATAATACATAAATGAAAGTAACATCTAAGAAATCTAGGCAAATAAACTAAAACATAACTAGACAAATTGATATGGAATCGCATTTTTCAAGAAAGAATTTTACAACACAAGAAGGCAAAATTCTGATTCCCATAAAGAAATACAGTAAAAATGTTTGCTGTCATTGATACATCAAACTTTTATTTTACTTTAAAGGCAAATATTCATGACACTTGCAAGCTTTATGGGCAATAAATGATTAATCGTCATGTCATCAACCCAAAGCCAAGTAACAAGAACTGTGAAAAAAAAAATTTTTTTTTGGGGGGGGGGGGGGGGATTAAAAAAACAAAAAGTTCAAATTTATCATGTGAGAATAAAGATGTTGCATTCTTCCAAAAAGGTGTGATTTACTTTCCACCAAAATTTTTAAAAACAGACATAAAATGAAGTTATATATCATCATGGAAGTCATATGGCAATGTGAAAACTGCAAGAAGGGGAAAAAAAAAAAAAACACCTCCACATTGGCACTGCTTCGAAACTCATATTCCTGACAGGAGTAATCTGCTACTGCCAATTTATGGTCACCTAAAATCTAAATTAAAACTGTGATTTATTTTTTTAAAACAAAAGTAAATTAACTTCTTTATTGTTTGTTAAACATTACTGTTAACATTCAAAAAGTGCCCCCTTCCGATATAGCATATTTACTTAAATTAGACAAAGTCTACTTATATTTAATTTTGCACTAATAAACAAGGTTTACATTTATTCAAACACAACGAACCTTCTTCAAAACAACCATCACTCACTTTTCTAAATGATTCTGGTCTTCTAAAAAAGTACTCATGGTGATAGAACCTGAAATTGAACCTTATTTGATCTTCTAGAGGAC